TAGTGTCCTTCAGAGCGCCATGAACATTGATGACAAAGGATCCCCTGGTCCCTCTATCTCTGAGAGTCATTCAAGCGGTCGTGCTCATAACCCTTCGTGTAAAACGTTCTCAGTGTGAGGACTTGCTAGTGTCCCTATATTAGATACACAAACACAAGCTATTTGGGGGTCTACTGAGGACAGTCAGAGGCGCCTGCACCTCCCACAAGCAAACTCTAATAGCCCTATTAATGTTAGATAGACCCACCTAATGGAGTGCCTCTTCCTAGCAGCTCATTGATTAGAAAGACTTACCTGAAGTATTTATATGTGGCCTAAAAAGTATGTGTCCAAATGAAAATAATGGTTTTCAGGAGCGGTGATGTGATGTAAGGTCTGGGCACTGGAGCTGCAAGGCAGACATCCTCTTGCTTGCAATACCCTCTCTTAGGAGGACGATGACACAAAAGCGAGGGAGCAGTGGAAATAGTGTCATTTTCTCTCTCCCTTCTGTTTCCTCTTACAGGTTGATGACCAAATGAAGCTGCTTCAGAACTGCTGGAGTGAGCTCTTAATCCTTGACCACATTTACCGGCAAGTGGTCCATGGGAAGGAAGGATCCATTTTCCTGGTTACCGGGCAACAAGTGAGTATTGGAGTGGAGACCACCACCACCACCCCCACCCCCCCAAAAAAAGGAAAAGAAGAAAAAAAGCATCATTTTTTTCTAAGCATGCTCAGAATGGCAGGGATTTAACTAGGTCAGAAGCACTCTTGTGCTTTGAAAAGGAGCGATTTAGCTGCAAATAATTTAGAAAAGATGAGTCGGTGCACTCTGTTCCCACTCTGATGATTGCAGTTAAACTTGTAAAAGCAAACGTAAGCACAAGCATTCTGCAGCCTCTTGTCCCCTGGGGGGCAAGTTGTGCCTCAAGGGGTCAGAACGATGGCTAAGTCCCTGATGGTTGTGCTTGTGTGCCATTTGGTCAGGTGACAAAATAGATCTTCCCCAGAGGGTTTTGTAGACTGCCGCCTCTATGGGGACAGGTCAACATGTCTTTTTTTCCTCCTGTGGAGCCACTGGGTGGATTAGAACCACCAACCCTTACTTATGTAGCTGAGTGCTTTACTGTTGTGCCACCACAACCCATCACCATTGAGCAGATTGTGACTGTTCATGACCCCGTAGGACAAAGGCGAAGCGCCTCTCTTATTGCTTAGCTTGAACAAGTGAACTAACACTCTGCCACGGCATCAACTCGGACTCCTAGTGACTGCTCTCAGGGACTGGCAGGCCTGCCCCATTGCCTCCCCGTCGCTCAGCAATGGCACCTGCCGTGCTCAGGCCCCGTGATCTTTTACATCCGGCCATCAATGTCTATGCACCGTGACACCGCAGCAGTGCATATTTGAAAAGGAAAGGCTGTCTCCACTCCATTTGCTGTGCTATTAATAAATCACATTTTCCCAATCAAATTAAAGGCAAGCACTATGTCAGAGCTTCAGCAAACTGGATCAATTCGACAGACTCCATCCCTATCTGGCCCCAGCTTTCCGCCCCTCTCAGGAGAAAAGCTTCCTGGAGGATAACACACAGAGAGAGGGAGAGAGAGAGAGACTCCGCAGGTTTCACTTCCTGCCTTCCCAATTTTTTGTTGAGCATTTTTCTCCTGCGGCCCAGTCTTTGGAGGGAAATGTACCCATTTTCAGAGTCTAATCACCGGACATTCTTTTACCCTCCCCTCCCTACTCCTACCTCGAAGCTGCATTAGAAGAACGAGACTCGGGCCACAAATTAATTTGATTTCATTTCCTTCTGAGTTTCAGAAAGGAAATGGGTTTGTGCTGTTCTTTCTCAAAGCACTTCCATCCCTGCTCTTTAGAAATCCTCCTTATTTCACATTTCATTTTACCTTAAGTGGTGCCCCTAGGCAAAGGTAATTACCATTTAAAAAGTAGAGAAAGTGCATTTCTTGCCTCTCTGATCTTCGGAACCCAGAAAAGTCAAGGAAGAGATGGTGTAGTATAGCCTTTTTATTATCAATTACCTTTGCTTTACGTTTTGCCCTCACCACGGAATGAGGGACCCCTGGGGGGAACCCACCGTCCCTACACTGTGCATCCTGGAGTCTACTTTTAAAATGAATCCACATTGTTGCCAACCGCCCACTGCCCTCCTTTTCTCCCCAATGTAAGTGAATGCCCTGCCTGATGAGTGACCATTAGACGCGCTCATTGAGAGAAATGATGCAACCCACCAGCCCTGGTCTTTGGGGGCATACCAAAAATCCTTGGCCTCGGAGTCTCTTCCGACTAGAACTGACCTGTGGGTTTTCGAGGCCGTGAACCCGTAACTGGTGGGCTTGAACTGTTGACCTTGCAGTTGGCAGCCCAATTCGTATTCCAGGATGCCACCAGGGCTCCTCGCTTTGGTGGCGCAAATGGGGTCCGAACATTTTGAACATATCCCTGAGCTTCCTGTAATTCATGCAGCGAGGAAAGCAAACGTGCTGAGAAGGAAGCCGTTTCTCAACAGATGACCTTTCTAACAGAGTAGACAGTTCAATGCAGTCTTATACCGCAAAGCACTGACTGCGGCGCTGAATGGAGGAGGCATGGGATAGCTAGTAGGTGATTGCATTGAAAGACAACGCGTGGATCTTGTAAAACAAGTTAACTAAACCTGTTGTCATCCAGTCCATTCCGACTCGTAGCGAGCCGGTCGGGCAGTCGGACTGTCCCACAGGGTTTCTCAAGCTGTAGTATTTATGTCAGTCAGCTGCCACATCTCTCTCATCGAATTTTGGGTTAGTGGCTGAGCATGTAACTAATGCACTACTAGAGCTCCGAAGACCCGGGACCCTGAGAGAGCATCCACGCGAGGTCTCCTAACTCATCTGTGCCTTCTTATTATTCTCGGCTTCCTGCTGTGGGGTCATAAACCATCCTCTTACTCTGTGATCATGTCCCACTTCTCCCCTGGTGCTCAGAGGGATGCTTTTGAACAATTTTTCCCGTGCCCCGCGACTTTTTTAAAAAGTCCTGATTTTTTGAAAGAATGCACAACAAGCTAGGGTGTATGGTTTTC